AACCTCTCATGGAAAATATACAGTTGGATTACGTCGTCACGTAACCCTGGTGGGGCCACCTCATCCATCGGTATGACTCGGCCTAGACCCATACCGGTAGCAAATAGAATACTTAGAGGAGTACTTCAGAATCCACCTAACATCTGAAGTGGTTTATTATATAATCCTTGGAAAAGTTCCATATTGGAATCCTCACCATGGGATTCCCAAATTCCAAATTTTTCCAAAGATTATATCTTGATCTCACCAAGAGATCTCCCAATCCATACCATAACCTTACTCCTCTAAGTCCTATTTACTTTTCCAAACCACATACACATAGCATATTCCATAATATATATAAACATAACCATAACCATGCCAAATTGTCAATATAATAATAATATAAATAAATAAATATCCAAAACAACCATCAATTGATCCAAATTATACTATGTGAAATGAAAATCTCCACATAAAATAGCATATTAAAATTATACTATTCCTATCATGCTCATATGTACTAGATTAATTTTATAAGCACTACCCTTACTTGGATATATAAACCTGAATTGAAACTCGGGCAGAACCTCCTCTTCTCTCTCCTCTTTTCTCTCTCTTGGCAGAGCCTCCTCTACTGGATTCCTCTTCCTCTCTTTCCTCTTTTCTTTCCCCTCCTCTCCCTTTCTCTCTCTAGGAATTCTTCTCTCTCAAGGCATGCATTTCCAACACTCCAAGGCCCTTATTTATAGAGTTCTGCCTGCCTAACTCGGAACGGCCCGTTCCAAAAAGCGGAACGCCCGTTCTGAACCCGAAAAATCTACGTAAATTTTAGAACTGGAACGGCCCGTTCCGAAACCCGAATGGCCCGTTCCGGACCCATCCAGAATGGCCTGTACTCCTTTCGGAACGACCCGTTCTCCCTCCAGAACGGCCTGTTCTCCCTCCAGAATGGCCCGTTCCAAAATCAGAACGGCCCGTTCTCCTTTTGGAACGGCCCGTTCTCCTTTTGGAACGGCCCGTTCTGGGCCCATTCTCAATCTTTAAATTTAGTTCATTTTTGGTTCTTGGAACGGCCCGTTCCGCTTTTGGAACAGCCCGTTCCAAGTTACCAAAACACCCTCTACCTTTAAAAAAATTACGAAAATGCCATTGATAAATAAATAATAAAAAAATGGGTATTACAGATATAGCAATACTTTCAAAGCTTACAGAATTTTCCAACCACAAAATGGAAAAATTCTTGTAAGTAGAGACGTCAAGTTCATGGAAGAAAAACAATGGAGTTGGGAGGAGTTAATAAAGAAGCAACTACAAAAAATTCCACAATTCGTTAATGATGATATAGATGACTTTCCAGTTAGAGGTACAAGACTCTTATCTGAAATTTATGAAAAGAGTAATGTAGCTGTCCTGGAACCTTCTGATTTTAAAGAAGTTGAAATGGATGATAAGTGGATAGAAGCAATGAAGGAAGAGCTAAAGATGATCGAAAAGAATGACACTTGGGAGCTAGTGGACAGACCTCAACACAAGCAACCTATAGGAGTCAAATGGGTTTATAGAACTAAGTTAAACGCAGATGGTTATATAAATAAATACAAGGCTAGGTTGGTCGTGAAGGGCTATGCTCAAGTGTTCGGAGTGGATTTTTCATAAACATTTGCTTCGGTTGCACGCCTCCATACAATTAGAATGTTGCTTGCTTTGATTGCGCAAAAGGGATGGAAAGTTTACCATTTAGATGTGAAGTCTGCCTTCCTAAATGGTTATTTGCAGGAGGAAATATTTGTGGAGCAACCAGAGGAATTTCAAGTCAAGGGACATGAGGAGAAGGTCTACAAACTGAAAACGGCCTTGTATGGTCTTAAACATGGCCCTAGGGCCTGGTATAGCAGAATTGATGATTATCTTCAAAACCTTGGGTTTATTAACATTCCAGGTGAAGCTACATTGTATGTGAAAATGATGGATACTAACTTAATCATAGTTTCTGTCTATGTTGATGACCTACTTGTAATAGGGAATGAAGAAAAGTTAATAATGGAGTTTAAAGCTGAAATGTTGCAAGTGTTTGAAATGACAGACCTTGGCCTAATATCTTTCTTTTTGGGTATGGAGGTAAAGCAAGATCATGGTGGAGTCTTCATATGCCAAAAAAAATACGCAAGGGAAATACTAAAAAAAATTCGCATGGAGGATTGCAAAAACACTACTACTCCAATGAACCAAAAGGAAAAATTTAGCAAAGATGACGGGATTGATAAGGTAGAGGAGCATCAGTTCAGAAGCCTAATTGGCTGTCTTATGTATCTTACTGCAATCAGGCCCGACATCATGTTTGATGTAAGTATGCTTTCAAGATTTATGCATTGTGCTAGTGAAGTTCATCTTCAAGCTGCCAATCGGATTGTGAGATATATTAAGGGGACAGTAGACTATGGTGTAAAGTACACTCACTCTCATAATTTTCAACTTCATGGTTATTCTGATAGTGATTTGGGTGGTTCAATTGATGACATGAAAAGCACAACAGGTTAGTGTTTCAGTTTTGGTTCAGGTATGTTTTCTTGGAGTTCAAAAAACAAGACATAGTGGCTCAAAGCACAACTGAGGCAGAATATGTGGCAACCACAGCAGCTGTGAATCAAGCTATTTGGTTGAGGCGTATGCTTGCTGATTTACATATGGAACAAAAAGAGCCTACACAAATTCTTGTTGATAATCAAACAACTATTTTCATTTCAAATAATCCCGTTTTTCACGGCAGGACTAAGCATTTCAAGATCAAGTTGTCTTTCTTAAGGGAAGCACAAAGAGAAGGTGAAGTCAAACTAATTTACTGTAGAACTGAAGATCAAGGTGTAGATGTCTTAACAAAAGCTCTTCCAAAAGCCAAATTTGAAGCTTTAAGAAATAAACTAAGTGTTTGAAACTATTGAGGCAAGGAGGAGATTTGTTGAAAGTGTGCCTGCAATAGCTGCATACGTGGATGTTTTAGCCAATTAAGTTTTAAATTTTTTGTTGCTTAGAATCTATTTTTTAGGAGTTCTGATTCTGTTTTCATCAGTTCAGAAACTGTTTTTTTTTTCATGCCTAAAAATAAGGGATATTTTGTTTTGTATTTTTGACTCTAGCTCTCTTTAAAGAGAAAATGAATAACAGCTATGATATCCTTCGTGAAATATATCTGTTCTTCTCTTCTTTTTTTTTAAATCTGATTTCAACAGAGATGTACTTTGCCTCTATAGTTTGAAAAAAGGATGGATATGCTAATGCATCACCATGTGGAAAGGAGATCCTAACTAGATTAGCACTTCAATCCCACACCAATCGTTTGCAGCATATCATCATGGACTAAAAAACAAAAAGAAAATAAAAGTACACGTGGGGGCACCAAACCAAAACCCACAAAGCAAAAAGTCTAATGCTATCAATGCCAATCTAGTGACATAACCCAAAACCATATCAGTCAATCTACATACAAACCGCTAAAACCCCCTAAGTGACATAACCCAAAACCATATCAGTCAATCTACATACAAACCGCTAAAACCCCCTAAGTTTCTATACAATTAAGAGAATTTAGAGGATTTGGCAGCCTTTTTTCTAGACCTCAGCTTATAGGCATTATATTTTTTGTGTACTGCTGCAATTTCAGCACAAGAAGGCCAGTCCTGACGAGCAGTGCGGTGCTTGAAAGCCTTATATGGATTAGGCGGGGGTGTTTCATCACTTGATGCGGTTTCTGGATCGGTTTCCACATCACAGCTTTGATTGTTGGATAAATCCTCTGAGGTAGGAATGTCTGTGAGAGACTCATTTACATTAGCAGCTGTTATTTTCTATACAATTAAGAGAATTTAGAGGATTTGGCAGCCTTTTTTCTAGACCTCAGCTTATAGGCATTATATTTTTTGTGTACTGCTGCAATTTCAGCACAAGAAGGCCAGTCCTGACGAGCAGTGCGGTGCTTGAAAGCCTTATATGGATTAGGCGGGGGTGTTTCATCACTTGATGCGGTTTCTGGATCGGTTTCCACATCACAGCTTTGATTGTTGGATAAATCCTCTGAGGTAGGAATGTCTGTGAGAGACTCATTTACATTAGCAGCTGTTATTGGAGTTGCTGATGCAGGTGCAGATATGCTTCCCTTTTTGGGACCAGAAGCAGCTGCTGAGCCCGATGCAGCTGAGTGAGCTGCTGCACCAACGATATTGGTCATATTTGCAGCAGTTGCTGCAGGTTCCATGGCTGCCTTTGAAGCCAAAACATCAGCTGCATCAGCAGCCTTGTGAATTATGAGAGCACCGCCTGACTGAAGTGAGCCAGCTCCAACATTGCTACTCACATGTGCTGCATTCCTTGGGGTAGGTATGCGTCCCTTTGTGAGACCAGAGTCAACTACAGCACCAGATTTACTTCCACTATTTGATTCAGCTGAGTGAGCTACTGCACCAGCATTGGTGGTCACATGAGCAACAGCTGCAGCATACTCCAATTCTGGCCGTATCAAATCAAAAGTTCTTGGTTGCATTGTAGCCATATTAGCTGCTGGAACAAAGGATGGCAGCACATCATGTGTTCCCACTTCATTAGTGCCACGATTCACTGACCTAATACCATTCTTATCTGGATCATTCATATCAGATGTGATATGATTTGCTGCACCAATTACAGCTGCTGAATCAGCAGTTGCAAATTTCTGATGTGCCGCAGCTTCAACAATTACTACATTTGAATCAGCAGCTGCAGCTGATTGATACACAACACCTGTCCCTGCATGATCAGTATAGGCTACATTATTAGGGACTTCAAGTGGTGCAACAGTAGCAGCATGTGCAGGTGTAGCAACAGCCTCATTCGGTGGATTCAATCCATTTGCTTGGAGGCCATCACCAGCTGCACCATTCTGCGTAGTTGCAGCAGCCAAGCCTCCATCCGGGTGCTGGCTACATTCAGCTGGTTCACCATGTTGGCCAGCATTTGAATGATCCAATGCATGTGCACTCCCTCCTACTTTTGCTGCATCGACCAATTGGTTTGGCTGATCAGTCATCTACTTCCTTTTTAGAGTACGCATTCCAGCACCTGCATGAGAGTTAGCACTACATGCAGAATTAACGTGGCCTATACTTTGACACAAAGAGCAATACATGGGCAGCTTATCAAATTCTCAAGTAACAAAGAAAGCATATCCTTCCCTCTCAACCAGCAGCTGCGTTGGGATTTTAGTAGCAAGATCAATTTCGATCAAGACTCTAGTGAAGTGCCCATATTTCCTATCCAATGTGGCTTTGTCAAATGCAATTGGTGTCCCTACATGATGGAGATGGTAAGGAGGAGTGATGAATGTTCTTC